GGGGAGAAGGAGAAAAAGGGGAAAGAGGGGTGAGGAAGACACGGGATTCAGAGTTGGGTGCAAGACTTTCTGCTCTGCCTTCAGCGGAGGTTTATTTTATACATTAGGAGCAAGCAGTGGGATGACATCAGCACAGGAACTGGGCTGAGAGATTACAATCATCTTTTTTTCTAAGAACAGTTTAGGGTCGTATTGCCCTTTAGCTGAGATATAACATTCTAAAGTCAATTAAGGTTAAAAACAGGTACATAGGTGCACAAAGTTTATGACTAATATTACTACAGTGGAGATCAACTAAGATAGAAGTCCCTTAAACCTTAGCTACTACTTAATGGGTTTTTGTTTTTCTACCTGAGTCATCCTGGGAGGCAGAAGAGGAAATTCCTTGCTAATCAAATCTCTGAATAGGAGACATAGGTGAATTTCCTTATCTGAAGACTACATGGTAGAATCCTGGAAGACTAGCCAGAAGACTTCTGTGGATTCTTTTAAGGTATAGCAGGTGGAAAACTTGACTAGTTTAAAAACATTCAACCTGGATGAATTTCTACATCTAAAGGCCAGACAGTAGGAAGTTTGAGTAATTCTTTAGAAACTGAATAGAAGGCTAGGTGAGATGATAGAATGATAAGATTTGGGTTTTCCTCCATCCAGCAGTGAGAGAGACTTTGCAAAAACAGCCCTTTTGCTTTTATTTATCAGTCAGTAGTGAAGTCACTTGACTTCAGGGGAATTTTTCACCCTGGTGCTTGCTTGTCAGGGCAGATAGGCCTTATGCGGCTGAGGCAATGCAATTGTAAGCTGAAAGTTGCTCAGAATATTTTGATATTACGATTATACAAAAAAGGGAGGTCATAACATAAGTTAGCATGGAAAGTCTGATTTTTCAGAGCAATTCCCCTCCATCCGTACCGACAGAGGTTGCATAGCTTGTGTCAGATGTTCCCTTTGGAAAAGGGTCTTTGCAGAGGTGATCAAATTAAGGATCCCAAGATGAGTTCATCCTGGATTTCCTTGGGGGGCCTAAAATGAATGACTTATAAGAGACAGAAGAGGAGGAAGCAGAGGCATAAAGACGGTGATGTAGTAAGAGAGGCTGAGTTTTGAGTGGTGCTGCCACGTGCCAAGGATACCTAGAGCCAAGGATACCTAGAGCAGCTGCAAGAAGCAGGGAACAATTCTCTTTTGGAAACTTCAGGGAAAGCATGGCCTTGCTGATACACTGATTTTAGACTTCCAACCTGTAGACTGTAAAGGAATAATTATTGCATTAAGCCACTGTGCTTCTGACAATTTGTTGTAGCAGCTCTAGGAAACTAGTGCAGGAGGAATATTGTTATTCCCACTCACAGAGATCAGGGTCAAGTGTAGTGGAATAATTTTATTACAGTAACTGCTGGGTTCTAGGATAAGGGTAAGCTTGAGTTGATTCCTCTTTTTAGGGGATTTATCATTTTAGCACTTATTTTTATACCTCGAAGAGATAGAAGCTCTGGTATAATTGCTGCTCATTTAGTGAAGTAAAAGGGTTGGAAGGAAGTTTGAGAATTCCCAAAAGTCTGTGTAAGAGACATTCTTGCTGGACAAGCTAGGCCCCCCTCCCCCTTCCCAGGACTTAACCAAGCGATGCTCATGGCACAAGCAGCAGCAGCATCTGAAAGACCTGGATGTGGCTGTCAGTGGTTGCTCCCTCCACATCCCCGATCCCTGCTGGGAACATGCCTGATATCAGGCTGTGCCCTGAGGAGAGTAACCTCCTGGGTTTTGAATTCTGTCTTGTATTATTTCTGCTCTTTCAACTGTCTTTACAAATAAGCCTTGGTCCCTCCGCTTATGTGAGGACTTCATGGTAAATAATAACTAATTTAGTGCCACCACTACCAATTTCAATACAGTCCTCTAAAAAGAGAGTGAGTTTAAAGTTAAAGCATTAACTCTTGATAGACCTAGCTTGGAGTCTTAACTCAGTCTTTTACCAGTTGTGACAACCCTTTAAGTAAGTTACTTAACCTCCCTGCTGGTTGGTGTCCTCTCACTTATAAAACTGAGTCTCACTTCATAGGATTGCTGTGAGGAAGTGCTGAGACACAGCTACCATTGTTATTCAATAGCGTAACAGTTCAACACAGTTTAGCTCTCCCTCTTCACCCATCTCTGGTCTTAAGATTCTTCCCTTTCCTTAAAATGTATGAAGTTGAAAGTTGGACATTGTAAGGATTACTTTGAGCCGCTCTTATATTTGTGGAATAGTCCTCTGTGGTTGAAAATTAGCATTTAAATTGAACACTTACCTAACTGCTGTTTTATTTTTTCTGGTGGGAAATGTCAAGTGGGATGGATGTGAAAGGCTCCTGAGTAGGGATAGTGAACTTGTGAGTGTGATGGTGTTGTTTTTTTTAAAGCAAAATTAAGCATATGGGATCATTAAATTATTGATGATGTTTTGCTACAGAAGATTTATAAATAATACATGTGTGAAGGGTTATTTCCTTTACATTTCTTTAGGGCCAACAAAAGAGCTTCCACCTTTTGAGGTTAAAGAGAACTGACAGTTGGAGAAAGGTCAGCAAAATGTTCATTCATGCAGTTTCTGGGCCACAACCCCCTCAAACTTCAAATAAGAACAAAACCAACTTTATATAACCATATCAAAGCATGTCTCTTATTTTTAGAGCAGAAAGAGGCAGTGAATTTAATTTAAAAACTAGGAGAAAAAGATTAAAATAATATTAATAATCTATAAATTTCATGTTAAATAGTATCACTTTTCCCCCTCAGGAACATCTCCAAATAAAAGTAAGCGTCTGTACATTAAAACAAAAACAGAGCCCAACGCTTAAACTCAGAATCCTGACTATTTTCTGGCACAAAATTCAATGAATTTTTGTTATTTTAAAAAGAGGTAGACTGAAAATAGTTACTGGGGAGATTATGAAGCTAGCAATAGATACCTTCACCCATGGTTGGCTCCCCTACATATAAGTCCAATTTTGTTTGAAATGCCTACGTGGATGAGGGTGAGACAAAGGAGACGTAGTTTTCATCATGTTTATGACCTTGAAGAAAGTCAGAATTTATTGCTTGTTCCTTTTTCTTTTAGAGCTAAAAGGAGAATCTGTTCTCTGAGGTATTTTTTTCCCCAGATTATACATATTAGTGAGATCAGATGGTATTTGTTATTTATTTCTGTCTGGTTTATTTCACTTAGCTCTGTTCATGTTTCATAAAATGGGAAGTTTTGCTTCTTTCTCATGGCTGATTACTTAATATATTAATATGTATAGTTTTCTTTACATATTACATATGTATAGGTTTTCTTTATTCATCCATTGGTAGTTTCCTTATCTTGGCTATTGTAAATAATGTTGCAATAAACATGAGGGTACAGAGATATTGTTTTTGTTTTCTTCAGGAAGAGTGGCCAGAGGGGAAGATTGCTGGATCCTGTAGCCAATTCTATTTTTTTTTTTAATATGGAACACTTCATGGATTTGCATGCCATTCTTGTGCATACTAATCTTCTCTGTATGGTTCCAGTTTTAGTATGTGCACTGCTGAAGTAAATGCTACTTTTTTTAATATTTTGAGGAACCAGTTTAAATTCCCACCAGCAGTACACAGTAACTTCCTTTTCTCTTCCTCCTCACCAACACTTGTTATTTCTTGTCATTTTGATAAAAGTCATTTTAACAGGTGTGAGGGGATATCACATTGTGGATTTGATTTGCATTTCCCTGGTGATAGTGATGCTGAACACCTTTTCTTGTGCAGTCATCTTCTTGAGATAAATGTGTGTTTACTCCCTCATTGAATTATGTGGTAGTTCTATTTTTAATTTTCTGAGGAAGCACCATTTTCCATCATGGCTATCCTAATTTCCATGCCAAACAACAATATGTGAGGGTTTCCTTTTCTCCATATCCTCACAACATTTGTTATCTCTTATCGGTTTGATATTAGCCAACCTACTATGTGTGAGGTGATATCTCATTGAAGCTTTGATTTGCATTTCTCTAATGATTAGTGTTGCCAAAACTATCCTCTATGCCTGTTGTCCATTTGTACATCTTCTTTGGAAAATGTCTACTCAGGTCCTTTGCCTATTTTCTGATTGGATTCTTTAGGATTTTTTTTGGTTTGTTTATTTTACTGTTGAGTTGTATGCATTTTGGCTGTTAACCCCCTTCAGATCTATGGCTTGCAAAAATGTCTCCCATTCCATAGATTGTCTTTTCACTTTGTTAACTGTCTTACTCTTTAACAAACTACAAGATCTGACAGAAGGCCTAATTCATCTTATTGACACTCAACTTATAGGGAAGAGAGAAAATGTAAGAAAACCAATGGGTGTCAAGGATGTTTAAACATAAATACAGACATCCAGATGGTGTCCTGTGTTCAACATTTGGTCCTGTCTTGAAGACATCCGATCTCGGGTCCTCAGGGGTGATCACTGAGCTGGGAGAGACTAAGAACTGGCAAATCTGCCTTTGGATAAAAAACAAATTAGGTCCTCCCTGGTGGCCAAAGGGTTAGAACGCAGCATTGCAAGCTAGTCGCAGCAGATCTCCCCTAATTCATCCACTGCTCCCCTCAGCAGTGTACTTTGTAGATGTACCTGTTCTGCTCTCCATTCTGTTCTGGTGGATCCTCTCACTGCCCCTGCACCTCTGGCTTGTACCCCAGTTCTGTATGCATAGATAAATAAATCTTAAAACACACACACGCACACAAAATCCTGCTTTCTCTCGGCCATACGTAGGAAAACAGGAATGAAGATTTATTTTAGAAAGTTTTCCAACAGCAAGGTTAAGTCTTGATTGACTAGAGAATTTAGAGACTGAGAGTGCATTATTTGCGACCTCGCGTAAGTCTGTCTGCAGTTGAAGCTCGGGGAATGCGTGTTATTCCCCTAAGGGTTATGGCTGAGATTGCGCTGCCCAAAGATGTACGAAGCCAGGGCAGTGTTTTCCTCCTCCCTGAGTCCTGCTGCCTTACAGTCCCTCACTGCTGTTCTTCACTGTCTTGCAGGACAAGAGGTCTAGGGTGACAGGAAATGTGACGGCTCACCTGACACTGTTTTATTGCCTGAGTCCTTCTATTTGCCCTTTATTATGTTGGCCTCCGTCTCTGATGTTGGGAAAAGCCGCGTTCTGTTTGGTGATGTTTTATTTCACAGAACACACACACGGATTGCAGTGGGGCTTGAGGAAGGAAAGGTTTGATGTGTGTGGCTGTCTAGTAGCTCTCCTTTGCACAAGCCTTTGACTACAAAAAGAAATCGAAGTGTGTTAATCATGCTGATCAGCAAGGGCCAGGGGTTCCTTCACCTTGGTGTGTGTCTCTGGTTGTATATTTTCATACCTGTCGTGAAAGGTAGGCTTTTGTTGCTGCTTTATTGCATATTCCTTTTTTAACTACAGGTGTTTATTTTTCTATGTGTGCTTGACTGAATAGCGATGAAATGTTCTATAGGGAAATATGGAGAATTAATGCTGTTAAAACTGTGAATTAATCTGTTTTATTGGTTATGTTTAACATGAAAGGGGGTATTTGGGGAGGAGGGTGGGGAAGACAATGAGACAATAAAACATGTAAGCCATGTTTTATTTCCCTAATTAAAATATGGCAGTAATAATAATGATGTCGTTTTCTTAATAATAATGATGTCGTTTTCTATCCATCTCTGCTATGAATATATTCAGCTTATTTTTTTTGTATTCATTTTTAATGTTGTTTCAAATCTGTGATTTACTTGTTAGTTGATGTTATTACTTAATCTATGAAATCTTCCACTGGTAGGTAATCATCTTTGATTCAGGGACCAGGTCACATTGCTATGCTGAAATGTGTGCTAAGAGTAAGATCATTCATTTTAAAAGTTAAGACATAGACGCACATAACCATTGTCCTGCTGAACAAAAGCCTTTTGTGTGCTGTCAACCTTGCAGGGGACTCAAGAATCATGGAAGGTTTATCTAAATAATCTCAAAGGGGAGAAATGAAGAATTTGTTTCTACTGTCTATTTAAGCTTTAATACTGTCATTATTTAATTCTGATGACAAGAAAACTATTTTATTTTTGAAACTGTTCTTTCCTGCTGATATCTCTGCATTTCAGTGTTTCCAAATGTATGTGTCAAACAACTTTTTATTCAATAATAAATAGTTATCCTTTCAATCATTTTAGTTTTAAGTTTTTAATACCTTGGAATTTTTCTTTCAGGGTGTAAACTCTGAAAATTTTGCAGAATAGTATTGCAGGTGTCAAATTTGAATTCTATAAGGGACAGTGAAGAGGAGAGTATTATGAAATGAGTTATGTCAACTTATGTCAAATATTTCTTGGAAAAATACAAAAAAATATATTAAATTGTTGCCTAAAATCTAATGGCCAGAAGTGCTAATTGCTTTAAGAACTAATTTGGAATTGCATATTGGATTAAAAAAAAAAAGTTAAGGAAATTTGCCTTCAAAACCTTGAACTCTCATAAATCTCTAAAATAATTACCATCACTAGAGGGGGAGTGAGAACAAAGTGGGGAGACTGCCCAGTGGGTACTTTGAAGGTGATGGGGTGATAACTTTCATTTGAAGAGATATGACCCTATTCTCCTAAATCATGTACAATGTTGCCTCAGTAAAGAACAAAATGGAATTTCAAAGTTGATTTTAAAAAGGTATATGATGGCCCTCCCTGATGGCACAGCAGTTTAAAGCCCAGCACTGAGAATCTAAAGCCGCTTCCGCATGAGTTCGATTCCCGCCTGCCCTGGAGGTGACCACATGGCGCGGCAGACCTCTCCTGACCTGCTTGCTGCTCCCCTCAGCAGTGCACTTCGTTGATCTGCCTGTTCTGCTCCCCACTCTGTCTCCGGTGAAGCCTCTCGCCGCCCCTGAGCCTCTGGCCTGTACCCCAGTTTTGTATGCACAAATAAATAAATCTTTATAAAAAAAAAAAAGTATATGGCTCTTAGGACAGCATGAAATTACTAGTTATTTCAATTTGCTAGGTGAAGCCTTCTCTTCCTCAATGCAGAAACGGAGGTCAGTTGAATCCCTATTTTGATAAACAAGGGCAGGACTTTCCCCTAATTAATGGATCAGAAAGTTACATTCAGAGATTGAAGCAAACACCTCCCACAAGCCCTTTCATTTGTGGTGTCTTAGACTTTAAAAGGCTAATCATTTATACAATCTGAAGAGAAATGAGAGGGTTTGTGTCTTAGACTTTAAAAAGTGCCCTTACCAACACTTTTTTATTTGCTGTCACAGCAGTGAGAGACTCAGGCACTAATGCATTTATCTCCATTGCCAAAGTGAACAGAGGAGGCTCAGGGAAGCCACATGAAATGGGCACCTGTGGAATTGTGCATGGGTGACCACAGTGAAGGGCAGAGTGTTCAGTGGGCTTGATGCCACACAGTCCATGTCATCCAGTGATGGAAGCTGCCAGAACCTCCCACCTACTCCACCCTCTCTATTTCTCTAACTCTTGCCTCTGTTTGACGACACAGGTTGCGCATCAGAGGAGAGACTCTTTCACAAACTCTTTTCCCATTATAACCAGTTCATCAGGCCTGTGGAAAATGTTTCAGATCCCGTCACAGTGCATTTTGAATTGGCCATCACACAGCTGGCCAATGTGGTGAGTACCTAGCTTGCCTTGTGCACCTCAGAAGTCCAACTCAGAGGGGTCAGAGTAATTCCCTAACACTCGCATTTATTGCACTGGGTAATTAAGGGAATTAAAAAATGCAAAGAATCGATCTAAGTACTGGTTCTTCAGGTCATTGCCTGGGAAAGGAGACACTTGCCCCACTGGTGCTGTGATTATCCATGATAAGGCTTTGCTTTTCTGGAAATGCATTCAGAACTACTTTATGAAGCAGGCGAAGGGAGAATACAGAAGGAGCTAGCCTCATGGTGTGCCTATTATGCAACCCCACATGGCCTGCGCTGAGTGGGTACCAACTGCATTTTACAGCTTTGGAGACAGAAGCTCAGTTAAGCAACTTTCCCAAAGTCATGCAGTTACAAGTGGTAGAACTGTGTCTGCACAAGCTTATGCTGTTTTCACTGCATCAAAAAAGCACTACTCTAAATTTTCTATGTTATATAAGAAAGACAAAAATTATATTTTTCATATAGAATTTCATTTAGCCCTGAAGAAAACAGATGGGAATTTGGAAGTCTTTTTAAAATTTATTTCTACCATGTTCAAGAGCAAGTTGGACTAGAAGTCTTTTGTTTGAATGATCTTCATGCCCTGGTTGATGGGAATGGAGCTAGTGGGGCCTGGTACTCTGATAGAACAGGGTGCTGGGGTCCGTAGCAAGGGAGGGAGGGAGCAGGCCTGGTTAAGGCAGCATGAATAACTCAGATATGGCTCTTTTCGGTTGTGATTCTTGTTAAAAGATCTTTGTGGCCATCCCTGGTGGCACAGCGGGTTAAAGCACTGCACTGAGAAGCTAAAGCCACTTCCGCATGAGTTCGATTCCCGCCTGCCCCGGAGGAGACCACATGGCGTGGCAGACCTCTCCTGACCCCCCCGCTGCTCCCCTCAGCAGTGTACTTCGTCGATCTGCCTGTTCTGCTCCCCACTCTGTCTCTGGTGAAGCCTCTCACCGCCCCTGAGCCTCTGGCCTGTACCCCAGTTCTGTATGTACAAATAAATAAATCTTTAAAAAAAAAAAAAAGATCTTTGTATATAATAGCAAGTACCTTTAAAAAAAAAAAAAGATTTCTTTATTTATGCCAGAGGTGCATGGGGTAAGAGGATTCACCAGAGACAGAGTGGGGAGCAGAACAGGTGGACTGACTGAAATACACTGCTGAGGGGAGCAGCAGGTGAGACAGAAGAGGTCTGCTGTGCCATGTGGATCAACTCCCTGGCTGGGGATTGATCTTCTGTTTCAGTGGCTGAAGACAGCTTCATAGTGCTGTGCTTAACCTCTTGCGCCATCAGGGAGGCCCTAATAGCAAGTACTTTTGAGGCTAAAAATATTCTTTCTTCTTCCCAGGATGAAGTAAACCAGATCATGGAAACTAATCTATGGCTACGTCACGTACGTGTCTCCATCACTTGTGCTCCTTTTTGGGCCCGTCACTGTGTATCAGCCTAACAATGTAGAATGGATAAAGTGACCAGAATTTCCTCTTGCTCTCTCTAATTTATGACCAAGCATAAAATATTATCTGTCTTCAAAGCTAAAATTAAACTGGTAATGGCTGGCTTGATGCAAGCATCACAGGTGCAGTAATCTAGTGACAATAGCATCTGCCCTTTATGGCTTCTGCTCTCAAGTCTTCTTATTTCTATCTACAACTTGAACTCTAGAGTCTGATGCTTGCCCACTCTTTGATGTGATAGCCTTAGTTTTATAGAAGTCAGCAGGTGAGTGTAAGAATGGGTGCAGATTTCTACTAGCTAGCTTTACCAGTTGTAACATATAGTTCTTTCTTCCTGTTCTAACTTTTGCAGATTTTGTGACAAACTTATCACTATGCACTGGAACTAATTAAAAAAAAAAAGATTATTTATGCATACCTGAACTGGGGTACAGGCTAGAGGTGGAGGGGTGAGAAGACTCACCAGAGTCAGAGTGGGGAGCATAACAGGTAGATTTACTGAAATACCTGCTGAGGGGGGCAGTGGGCCAGACAAGAGAGAGGGTCAACTTTCTGCCAGGTATCAAAGTCTTTGCTGTAGTGGCTGCAGATAGCTTCATAATGTTGCATTTTTAACCCCTTGGGCCACCAGGGAGGCCCTGGAACTATTTTTTAATATTAAAAAGGAGTTGCTGCTCATTTCCATATAGTCTGTGGACCACAGAAGTTGAGTTAGCCTTAGACAGCTAATTAGTAATTGATAGAATTTAATATCTACCAGACAATTCATATTTGCTAAATTCAGCTCAGCTAAGTAAGCCACTCTTCCTCACAGATTTAATCGCTGAACTTTTAATAAAAACAGATACATTCCTTAAGTAAGAATTACTCCTTTTTTCCAAGAAACTTCTCAACCAACTAGATTTAACATTGGAAGAAAGTTATTAAGACATTTTTAGAAACTGCTTTCTATTTCCTCTAGATCTGGAATGATTATAAATTGCGCTGGGACCCAGTGGAATATGACGGCATCGAGATGCTTCGTGTTCCTGCAGACAAGATCTGGAAGCCTGACATTGTTCTCTATAACAAGTATTTGGGTGTCTGACAGCCTTTGTCTCTTTCCAAAGCTGCCTCTGGTAAACCTGCTGACCAATAATAACGGGGGAGGGTACTGCCGCTAATGGTGTCTGCTTTCCTTGCAGTGCTGTTGGTGACTTCCAAGTCGAAAGCAAGACAAAAGCTCTTCTGAAATACAATGGCATGATAACCTGGACTCCACCAGCTATATTTAAAAGTTCCTGTCTTATGGACGTCACCTTTTTCCCTTTTGATCATCAAAATTGTTCCCTGAAATTTGGATCCTGGACATATGACAAAGCTAAAATTGATCTTTTGATTATTGGATCTAAAGTAGATATGAATGATTTTTGGGAAAACAGTGAATGGGAAATTGTTGATGCTTCTGGCTACAAGCATGACATAAAATACAACTGTTGTGAAGAGATGTACACGGATATAACTTATTATTTTTACATCAGAAGACTGCCAATGTTTTATACCATTAATCGGATTATCCCGTGTCTTTTTATTTCATTCCTAACTGTACTGGTCTTTTATCTTCCTTCAGATTGTGGTGAAAAAGTGACGCTTTGCATTTCTGTTCTGCTTTCTCTGACTGTGTTTTTGCTGGTGATCACAGAAACCATCCCGTCGACGTCACTAGTGATCCCCCTGGTTGGGGAGTACTTACTGTTCACCATGATCTTCATCACTCTGTCCATCGTGGTGACTGTGTTTGTGTTGAACATACACTACCGCACCCCCACAACACACACTATGCCCAAGTGGGTGAAGGTGGCTTTCCTCCAATTGTTACCCCAGATCCTGATGATGAGGAGACCTCTGGACAAACTGAGGGAGACAGGTACTGATAAAAAAGCCAAAGGTATTTCCAGTAAACCAGCTAAAGTCAAGTTTGACCATGGTAGAGAGCCCACATTTCTTAAAGAATGCTACTATCATAAGTCAACTGAGCTTGCCACCAGCAAGAGAAGGTTAAGTCATCAGTCTTTACAATGGGTGACAGAAAATGCAGAGCACTCACCGGAAATCGATGATGTCATTAACAGTGTTCAATTCATAGCAGAAAACATAAAGAATCAAAATGAAACCAAGAAGGTAAATGCATGTCTCTACTGACCTGTCTCCCAGCTTCAGGCCTAGAGCGCTGTATAGGCTGGTCAGAGCTTCTGACTGAGGTGTGTTTACAAGAGGGTGGGGTCGCTTTAGAAGCTCCATTTCTGTTACTGTTTGGCTTTGGGTGAACTGCTCTGGAGCTTGAGGTGGGGGTAGGATGTAACCCTAGGCAAATCTCTACTGCCAAAAATGTTATGTAAGTGAAATCTGGTTAAAGGAAACATTTAGAGACATCTTGGTTAATGAACCCAAAATCCCCTGCACAGGCAGAGGCAGAAAGGGAAAATCTGGGTCTGGGCAGGAAGGAGGGGTGATCCCAGAGCAGCTGGTGGCTCAGGAGCCGTGGGTGAGAGGAGGGGCCTTCAGAAGCTCCTCTCCTACTGGTCCTGGTGGGGAGGATCTGAGGGCTGATTGATATTTTAGAATATCAGCCTATTCCGCTACTACTGCCTACGGTCTAACTATAGCAGCATGGGCCTTCCTGTTCCTTCAAAGAGAGTTCAAGAAAAGCATGTCAGGCATATGAAACTCGTGCCAGGAACTGGGTTTGATGCCATTCTGTGACTGCCAGCCATATCCGTGTCTCTTAGTAAAGGACTTGAGATACCTGAAATCTGCCCTGTGGTCAGGGGGCGATGTGAGTGGGAGTGACAGATGCATCACAGGATAAGGGAGCTCAGAACTCACTGTACCGTGAAAGAGATGTTGACTCACTCAGATGTAGGGCTCTCCAGACTCAGCCAGGAGACTTTAGCGGATGTGTGCAGGTCAGGGATTGGCAAGATATTGGAACGGTAGGACAGAAGGTCTGCTCTCGCTCGTACCTCACATCCCATACCTATACCCTCTCCCCATTCCCTAGACTTGCTGGTGGATCAGAATATCCAGTGGTGTCCATAACAAGCAATCTGAGTAGCTGCTTCTTGGGGTTGCCTCTTGTACTCAAGAAAGTCCCCTGAAATTCCCTGTATTCTGCAGAAGACACTGATTACCATTAATCAGAGCAATACCAATATTTGCTTTAAAATTGCTAAGAAAAAATTCCTCTGTAAAGGAAGCAGCTCTTACCTATGAAACAGAACCTATTTTTTATAGTTTTGATTTTTTTTTAAATTGCTTCGTATTTTTGTTTGCTTTTCAGGTGGAAGATGACTGGAAATATGTTGCTATGGTGGTGGATAGAGTATTTCTTTGGATATTTATAATTGTCTGTGTGTTTGGAACAGCAGGACTATTTCTACAGCCACTTCTGGGGAACACAAGAAAATCTTAAGGATGTATTTTCCTTTTATCTTCAGAAATTTCTAGATATTCTATTTGTTCTATGTTCCCTTCCCTAAGGAAGGAGACAGCAAACCTCCCACCCAAATCCCCCATCTACTGTGGTAATGACTAGATGGAGAAAGAACTCTGGCAAATCAGGAGCCAGAATGCCCTTCTCTACAGTACTGAGTACTTCAAGATGTTTTGAACACTGCAGCCCAGGAGTGGCAGGACCCACAGGCTTCTCTTGTCTATACATATTTGGCTTCTGAGGACATGAATGACCTGCAATACAGCCAACTAGTAATGAACATTAAGTCAGACTAGAAAGAGGGTTACGCTACTTATCAGACAATGGCACATGGCAGATGTGAAACTCTGGAACTTGGGCCTTGCTGACATCAGCAAGTGCTTGAGAACTAATTATGCTTGTTTTCTAGTGTGCCCCTCTATGATGTAGCTTATTCCCTTTATCATCATTGAATACATCAAATGGCAAAAAAGAAATAATAGTAGGTAGTGAAAGGCTGTCTCAGCAGGCTATATTGAATAAGCACTCATCTGGCAAGAGAGCAGAGCACAAACCCAACACTGTGCTAGGTATTGTAATGGTTGCAGAAATAGATTCTGTCCCCCAGCATTTAACAGGTTTCAGGAAAAGTCACAAACATAAAACTCTGCAAGACCAGGTGTGTTGGGGGGAAATGTCATTAAGACAATCAAAATAGGAAAATGAGAATGTGATGTGATGTGAAACAAACCTGACTTGATATTTATTGTGTAAAAAAAAAGTGTCCAGGGCCTTCCCTGGTGGCTCAACAAGGTAAAGCACAGCACTATGAAGCTATCCACAGCCAGTGTAGCACATGTTTGGTCCCTGGCAAGGAAGTGACCCACATGGTGCAGCAGACCTCTCCTGACCCACCAGCTGCTCCCCTCAGCAGTGTATTTCAGTAGACCCACCTGTTCTGGTCCCCACTCTGTCTCTGGTGAGTCCTCTTACCCCCTACACCTCCACTTCTGGCCTGTACCCAGTTCTTGTATGCAAAAATAAATAAATACTTTTTAAAAAGTGTTCTTCCAGTCTTTTCTCATCAACAATTTCCATTTGTTCATTGTAGGTGACATTGGAAATAAAACGATTTCATCTCTAAGAAATTCAAAGTTTTGTTGCAATTCCTTTTCTGATGGGGGAACATTGGGTATTCTGTTTTCTTCAATTCCAATGTATCTTCTTATTGCTTGTGCAAACATTATAATAATTTTCAAGATGCACTGTAAAACAGGGAAAATGAATCTACCCTCACAAAGGACTCATTTAATTTTTACCATTTCCATTCTGGTCCTTATCTATACACACACATAATTTCATGTTTCAATTTTACCTGTCGATTTGCCTTGTGCTATTTTCTCCAAACACCGTATTAGTAACATCTCTCCTTGACATTACATAATCTTGAAGTAGGATTTTTTATGATTGCATAATCTGTTATGTTGATACAATATAATTCCTATCACCACATGTCAACTCTCCTTTGTCTCTCTCACAGAGGAACATAGGCAGTCTGTGGTCCACCAGGCAGAGCTCCTGAATTTAAATTACTCTGAAGTATTTTGCCTCAGAAAACACCCTTAGTCTAAAAATTAGGAATAAGTGGAATTAACCAGTAACCAGACTTTTGTATTCCATCTTCAGGACTGTTAACTCCTAAGCTGCATTTCCTGTCTAGGATTAACTGTTAACAGCACTGACTCCTGATCATTAAGGGGAACACAGGTCCGCCTGCATTCTTGGGACTTGGAAAACTAATTGTGTTAAGTAATTAATTTCTCAGTGTCAGAGTCTCTGAGTGGATAGGGACATCAGAAACAAGTATCTGCTGCCATTTGAGAAGACACCCTGCTGGGACAGTCACACCTGTCTCGCTGAGACAGCCACACCTCCTCAGACCTGGAAATGTGAAGTCCGCCCACTCCCTCACGCTCCTTCACCCTTATAAGCCTCAGTCTTAGTTCTCCACCACTTGGGGAACTGGCTGTTCAGATAAAACTCTTTCATGTAGACAGTTCTATGATTCATAGTTTGGCTTTCTGGGTGTGAGCAAAAGACCTGGTTTGATTGGTTACAAAAGGGCAAAAGCTTAGGGGGTGATGAGCTTTTCCTCAATTAGGGAAGGGCAAAGGACTCAGAGGAGGAGGAGAGCTTCTCCTCAGCCTCTAGGGCCTTCTTTACTTAAAATAATCTGTGTTGTTAAGTAACAGTAACCGTTTCTCTGGGAAACACAGGACTTCAATTAACTTTAGTTTAAAAGGCACAGCAGGCAGACCTCTCCTGGCCCGCCCGCTGCTCCCCTCAGCAGTGTACTTCGTTGATCTGCCTGTTCTGCTCCCCACTCTGTCTCTGGTGAAGCCTCTCACCACCCCTGAGCCTCTGGCCTGTACCCCAGTTCTGTATGCACAAATAAATAAATCTTGAAAAAAAAGGCACAGCAGACCTCTTCTGTCCACCCGCTCGCTGCTCCCCGCTCGCTGCTCCCCTCTCGCTGCTCCCCTCAGCAGTGTATTTCTGTCCATCTGCCTGTTCTGCTCCCCACTCTGTCCCTCTCATCCTCAACATGTCTGGCCTATACCCCAGTTCTTGTATGCATAAGTAAATAAATTTTTAAAAGAAATTTCGTTGCACTTATTGGAAATTATTCTTGGAATATTGAGAAAAGCCTATCTTAACTTTTGGGCAGACAAGTCCCACAGGTGCTTGCTTTTCTGATTTTTTAGTGTTAAAAAAAAAAAAAAAAAGGACAGGTCCAAAATGGAACCTTTCATGCCTGGCCCCACCTACCCAACCCTCTCCTGCTCCCCCATCTAGGCTTAATCCCTAAAACTGATCATAGCTTCAGCCACTCCCCAAAGTGGAGTTAAACCCAGTCAATCTGGGGTTTCCAGGGTAGCTCTAGAGAAATATCTACACGATGAAAATACCCCCTACCCCCTTCAGGAATGTGGGTTTCCCAGAAGTAATCCTTTTCTTTTGCTAAAGAACCTGTTCCACATTCTGTTTCATTGTAAAAACCTTGCATTGGTATAACTTTTGGCAGCTCCTTTCTGCTTTCCAGTTGGGATGCTGCCAGACTCAGGAATTATTTAATAAAGCCAATTAGACCTTTAATATGATCTCAGTTGGATTTTTTTTTTTTTTTTTGGTGATTTAACAAAAGGAAACTCAATATTTAGGCTTTTATATAAGCCTCCTTAGCTTGAAAACATGGAAACTAAAAAAACAAACATGAAAACTAAATTAAGAAGCAAAAATAAAATCTCTGTGCTAGCCAAACAAGACCAATGTGCAGGCTGTGGATTTGCAGCCTTTGCCTCAGCAGCCCAGAGCTCGATTCTTCCTGTTGGGTGAGGTCAAACAAGAGGGTGCAAAGAAAATGTTAACCAAGAAATAACTGGACAGTGATTTAATCAAGAGGTTTATTTGAGACTAGGAATCATGATTCAGGTCTCGGACCAAGGGACAGCGCCAAGGTGTATTCCATCAACGTCCAGGTAGAGGGGAGTTTTAAAAGATCAGGCGGGAGATGGTCTTGAAGGAATGGAGGCAGTAACGCAGGCCTGAGCAAAACTAGACTAGCCCAGGCAAGCACCCACCTCCCGCCCTCCCCCAGTGCAGGATAGGTTGAAGAGGGACAATGTCCATTTAAAATTGATTGGATATTGGGAATGGTGTGGCCCAGGCTGATTGGATCTGAGGCACCAGGAAATGAGACATCTATTCCTGGAAACCTGTCATTGGGTGGTTGAACTGTGACCCAGGCTGTGATGCCTGTTAATCTTTGAATCCATTTGCTAAATTGAATCTGCGGGCTCTGACGTATGTAATGGCCAACAAGGCCAATATATTCCCTGACTTCCCTTTGGTTGGAGTCTTGCCTGAATCCTGCGCATCCAGCAGGGAAAGGCTAGACCCTGGCTAGCCAGCCCAATAAACTCTACTTTGCAAATTGCATTCTTGTGTGATGCTCTGTCTTTCGCGCGGTAATCGAGTTCATGGACCCTAACAGTCTGAGATTAGGTCAGTGCAGTGACACTTTTGGATTGATTCTTAAGGCCATTTCTTCTGTCTGATTCATGAGCAAAAGTGCCCAGATTAAAAAAAAAAGTCTCTACTCATGAAGTATCTCACTGTGTGCTGCTGAAAGGGGAGCTCTGGTGATAGTTTTCCCAGAGTGAACTCAAGGACCCCAAACTCAAAAAACAACATCAGTTATGCTGTGTTCTTGCCCCAAAACAGGTACAATATTGCATCAGTGTATATATAGCTGTTCTTATCTGGATTTCTCAAACTCAAGATTAAGAACTAAAGAAATTGTTATTTTTATTTCTGCTATTATTTTTATTGACACAGAACAGTCTAAATGCAAAGAAGGAATACACATCAACTTAACTACAAGTGATAGTTACCAATGCTGTTGATAAATAATAGTAGGTATTTCTGAGGAAGAGTTATAACACAACCAAAAGGTTTTTTTCAACATAAAAATAATACTCTTTGGAAATTAGAGCATTCTAGCATAGCTGTTTAGAGACCACTTAAAAAGTTACTTAGGTCATAGGTAAATTTATCATTGAATATGCAGGGACCAGGCTGTGGTTACATTAATTGAGGGATTAGTCTTAATATAAATGGTGAGACAACAGGTAGTATATCTCCTATAGTACAAGGGACTCATCACCCTCATCTGTGATATATTCTAGCAAAAATACTGAACCAGAATTATACGTATAACCTCCAGTTTACAGGAAATTCAGGAGACAGAGAGAAACAAGCTAAGTGACATCAAAGTAAGCAGCTTGACAATTGTAAAAAATGGTCAATTCTTGGGGAAAACTGATCTAGTTTTTAAACAAATGAATGCCCAGAGAGGGATTAAAATTGATTAAAGAGGCATAATATGATGTGATAAATCTTATTTTAGACAAGTTAAATATAGGATAGTCATAATTAAGAAAACATATATGGAATTATTAATTTTTCTAAGTAAGTCAATATCTCAGAACCTTCTTAATGTAAAGAAAATGAAGGTGATACTGGAAATCACACACACACACACATATACATGCACAGAACTGTTAACATTGGAAGAGTCTGAGCAAGAACACACATTTGTCCTTATTTTAGACAATTAACCCAATCCAAAATTTCTGGTGCCAGTTTAATTAACTAACAAATATTAATCAAGACTTGATTATATACTCAGCTTTATTAGATGCCATAACCATAACAGAGGATAACTTATGATACAGCAGGAAATAAAATTCACTTAATAAAATAGTAGAGAACAATTACATTCTAAATCATATACAACAGAGACTGAAAACACAGGATTTCAGAGACAGGGAGCTTGGGAGACAGAGGGGCAAAGTGTTCTGTGAAGGCTTCATGAGGAGGTAGGTGTGAGCAGAGATGTGAAGAGAGGGATTTATGTGCCTATAGCTATGTGTGTCCTCCCGGTCCACATGTGCAATGGAGAATTGTCTGGGTCTTGCAGGTCCACTGAAATTAGTATGTTTTGCCCACATGTTTTTCCTGCTATACATTTGAAACCAAAATCACTTTGCTTTAAAGTTACCTTTTATAGTTACCTCCTTCAGGTTATTGTGAAATAGAAAGACAGTCTTTTCAGTATTTGAAACATGTGATCCATAATCTCAAAGAGGCTTAAGCTGCTTGCACAGATGTAAATGCCTGACCTTTGCAGTATTTGTGTCTGGTCAGAAAGAGGCTGGCTATGGAAATTATTTCATGTGGTATTTTCCAAAATTCAAAATTGAATTAGAATCCAAATGCATGTTTCTAAGATTAGTACTGTCATTTACCTAGCAAACTGATGAGTTAAATAAAGTTAGGTATTGACTTAAAGTCAATATGTTTTCAACGAAGGAGGAAGAACAGTGATTTGCCCTTTGAATCCACAACCCCAACAGGGATTTAAGGCAGGGAATCCTTGATACTCATTGCAATATATTCCTGCAAATCTTGTCCTATGGTAGTGATAAAACAGATTACTTCCCCAAAGGAGTAAGGCTCTAACTAGAAGTTGTGTGGTTTGCAGTGGACTATGGTAAGGGCTATAAATGATTTGGTGTGTGAGTACTATGGGTCCTTTCAAAACACTAAGAAGGATGCAAAATGATGGTACTTCTGTAAAAAATAAAAACAAAAAACGGTTCTGAACATTTGGGAAGTATTGGAAGAGGCCTACACGGTTCTTGACTGAATAAAACTAAAAACAGAAAATAAAATGTTTATGTGGTTTAAAACTTTGATATAATTCTTCAGAGTATAGAATTTTAGAGTAGGTGAAAGTTGGGATGGTCATGAGGGTTCTCTCAATTTTGAAAAGGAATCCAAAGCTCAGAGTGGGCAAGCAACTTGCCTAAGGTCTCCCAACTCACTTAGCGAGGCAATAGCTGTCCTGAACCCCAAAAGTCCTATTATCCCAGTTTCCACTTCACCATGTTGCCTCACTGTGACGGTCAGTGACATGTGCAGATGACCCTGTGGGTAGGACAAGAAGCTCAGCGTTCCATGAGGTGTGCACAGCTCACAGACATGAAGCTCTATGGCACGAAGTCTGGAGCTGCTGAAAATAGATAGTTGAGCATATTAAATATCACTTAAAACTTTCAATATATTATATGGTTACAGTGATTTTTTTTTTTAAGATTTATTTTACTTACTTGTGCATACAAGAGCTGGGGTGTAGGCCAGAGGTGTGTGGGGAGAGGTGTATGTGTGAGAGGATTCATCAGAGACAGATTGGATGAAGAACAGGCAGATTGACAGAACTACCCTGCTGAGGGGAGCAGTGAGAGAGACAGGAGAGGTCGGCTGCACCATGTGTGACACTTCCTGGCTGAGGATGGAACCCTTGCTGCAGTGGCTGCTGATAGCTTCATAGTTCTGAGACTTAACCTCTTGTGCCACCAGGCAGGCCCCAGAGAGACCATTTTCTAAGGAATGTCAAGGTTGGGGTACAGCGGACACTTTCATTGACCAGCAGAATCTTGCACTCTTTTCAGTAACAAGTGTGTGGTGCCAGTTGCTGCCATATTACTAGACCTCTCAAACAGCTGTTGAGATTTGTTCAACCACTTTGCCACAGAAGCACAAGACACAGCCCTGGTGTGAACCTCAGGCACAATCACCAAAGACACCAGGAAAAGCAGCCAGCCCACACCAGAGTTATCTGGAAATCTAGAATTCTTGATAGGCCTCCTTCATCAGGCCTCTGTCTAGCTTCCAGGGGACATTCCTCCACCATCCAGCACCAGTCCTGCTGCATCCAGGCTTGCGACCCAGGCTTGGCTGTTTGACTCTTCCTCCAACATCCAGATAAACCAAGGCAGAGGCCAGAGGAAAATCTACTTTATTTAAGTCCAACTCACTCTCATGGCGACCACAAATTAACTTGGGCAAACCCACAGTTACCAAGGTTCAATTACCCCAAGGATGAGATAGGCCCTTTCAAATAAGCAGGTGTATTAGGATACATTGCATACACACAAGCTGGGTGTCAGAAGGTGTAATTTTGCCTCTATGGTGTGGATTTTACATTGCTCTGAAGAATTGTTCCTAGTAGTAGCTATGCAACCACATCTTCAAAGCAGGGGTAAAAATCAGAGCAGAGCCTGTAATGGACGCTATGAGAAAGAGCCACAGGAAGATTCGATCGAGAACTTGAGCTACGAATTTCCAATCTTGTACAACCTGCATAAGAGAAAAAGATGACTTTCAGTCAAAATGCTGGGCCATTGTTCTGAATTCATTTTAGAGGATTAAGCAATAGAAATATTCAGACTTATAGCACTTCACATTTCAACATCTCCTGTTACAGAGGTTCAGATCCTTTTTTGTAACTGCACGATCAGTGCCCAAAGAAAACATCCTGTAGATTGAGCTTATGGGAAGCTTTTCACTGACATTAAAGACATAAGATAGAAAGAACAGAATCACTTACATTATGATTCATTTGTAAACACTACTAGTCAAAATGAAGAAAATCTGATTTTTGCACAAATAAAAAGTGAGCATATCTATCTGTGATGCTCTGGATATTACATATAAATAAACCACATATTTATAAATGATTAATTTCCCTGCTGCCACACATGTATTAATAGATTCGACAGCTGTAAGGGACAGAGGAGACCAGTGCCTTTGCAGGAAGGGAATTGGGGCAAAATCAGCAATCGAATCTAGTTTCTAAGAGCAAGGTCAGAGCAGAACTGAGCTACAGGCTAGAGAAGTCTGAAGTTGGGATCAGTTCTCATCTTTCAATGAGGAAGAAATGTTCCAGTTCTACAATGTGGGGATTAGAAAAGGGGAGGCCTATGGTTTAGAGGGACATAGTTGCAAAGTTGGAAAATGAATGTATACAGAGAGATTTAGAAATAAAACATTGGGGCAAAACACAAGGAGAGGTTTAAAAATTTAATGTGTCAATCTTATTTGGTGGGATCATTAATTAATGATTTTAATCTTGTATATATTTGTGTATTTTTCAAATCCCCTACACCGATGTGTTATTTTTTAAGGGGTCAGGGAGCAAGCTAAGTGCTTATTCTATAGCAAGTTTTTGTTTGTTTTTCTCCTAATGTTTTAAATTTTTCTCAGGCCACATGAAATATGACAAATTGTAATAGAAGGTATATAGTAGGCTGTATCTCTCAGAGCAAGATAAAATTTATAAGGATATCCCTTCAAGAAACATTTGATAAATCTTTTCAGAGATCAGGCTCTTTGTTGGGGAGGTGGTGGTGGTGAATCAGGCTCTTGGCAATAATTTTCCCTGATTTTGGAGTAAAATAGCTGAAACATAACATGTTTTAAGTAGCAAAACTGTTTTTACTCCGAGTATTTATATAGCAAACAATATTTCCATTCCATTGGGGAAAATAGATGATGAGAAGATGATAATTAACTTTTATTGACTTTTACAATTTATAATGTTACACAATCACTAGGCTGAGACTAGACTACCTGTGCTGGGCATACCTACATGTTTTATTTACTTATCATTATTTTATTTTTATGTGTATGTTATATTTTAAGTAATTTATTCCTCACAGTAACCCTTGAAGGGAGATTTCTGATAACTGAGCTCAGGTTTACTTGCCTCAAGTCATATAGAAAATGGTAGGACCTGCATCCAGGATGCTTCAGATCTGAAACTCACATTCTTTTTTTTAAAAATTCAACAATAAACAAGTATACCATCTTGCCTTAACAAAATATTTATTGTCATACTGTATTTTATATTAATTAAAAATTTTCTGGCTTTTTATTTCCAAATTCATGGAAAGATATATTCATTACCCATGGTAAAATCAGAGATGAATGAATGACCAGACACTAGAATAGCCAACTTAAAACATCTAACTGAATTATCTTAGATAGAATTAAAGACTAAATTATACAGGAAATAGTGCTTAATCTACAGTTGCTTCACTTTTGCTCATCATGTTTTTGTGATCTTCCTAAAACTTCAAATTTCAGAAGAAAGTCTCTTTTATGTTAGGACTTGTTTTAAATGTCACATGTTTGAAGAAGATAGTTAGCAATGTTACATTTCAAAACAACAGCATTTTGTTTCAAATGGATGTCAAATATTAGACTTTGGACACCTGAGTAGCAGCATTCTTCTGAATATCACTTAACTCACCTGGCTGATGAAATGCTCCTTCTTCACATGCTGTGAAATGTATCTGATGGAATCAGCAGCTTTTTCCAAGAAAGCAACTAAAACCTTTTCTCCCTCACTCATCTGTTTTTGTTTCTTTTTTCCTAGAACTTGACCTTTCACAACAGGTTTGCTCTCATCTTTTTCTAAGAAAGAGTAGCGATCCACGTGGTCTTTCATGCAAAGTAATTTAGGAAGCTTTTGCAGAAATAGTCTCTTAACCCAGGGGGCCATGGGATGGTAAGTTGAAGAAGATCTATGGTGAACATTAATGACAAACACAGTCACAATGATCGACAGGGTAACGAAAATCATAATGAACAAGAGGTACTCGCCAATGAGAGGGATGACCTTGGAAGACGACGGAATTATTTCTTCAATTACTAAGAGAAAAACCGTAAGGGAAACTAAAACAGACGTTGATAAGGAAAGCTTCTCTCCTTCATCCGAAGGTAAATAGAACACCAACACCGTCAGGAAAGACAGCCCTAGGCAAGGGATGATCAGGAAGAGGGTGTAGAACAGGGGCAGGCGACGCAGGACGAAGGAGTAAGTGATGAAAGGGTATGAGTATAATCCATCTCTTCTACTTCCCTTCGTCCCTTTTGCGTTTAGTATTTCCCACTCTCCATTATCGAAGAAGTCTTTTCTGTCCACATTTTCATTTATCAAAATGAGGTCAACCATGGTGCCGTCGTAAGTCCAGGATCCAAACTTCATGGAGCAGTTTTGCCGATCAAATGGGAAAAACGTGACGTCCATGGTGCAGGAGCTTTTATACCTGGCGGGAGGGGTCCAAACGACCGTTCCGTTGGACTTCACGATGACTTTGGTCATGAGGGAGCCTTCGAAACGCCCATCAGCACTGTAGAAAAAGTAGTTTCATTTCAGTGGTTAGGTGAAGCCACCTGGGTATTGTTTGCTTGGTTCACCACTGTACTATTTGTCTTTTATTACTTTCCTACTGCAGTGTCTAACAATATGGTAAAAACAAACAAAACAAGACCAACACATCTTGTTAAAGTTACACATTCCTTTTCATTATTTTGCCCAAACCAGGCTTTTCTGGTTTTAGCCCTAACCTGACCAGATTAGTTTTTCTTCTCAGATACTTACTTTTCAAAGAGAACTATGTCAGGAAGCCAAAGAGATTCGGATGGAACTTTTATTGAACGAATTCCACCATATTCATGGGGATTCCAGCGTAGTTTGTGGTCTGTCCATTCCTGCATAAAATTAGCACACTGTGATTTTATTTTGAAAATGAATGTATTAGGCCTTGGAATCTTTTTTTTTTTTTTTAAAGATTTATTCATTTATTCAGAACTGGGGTAAAGGCCAGAGTTGAGGAGGGTGAGAGGATTCACCAGAGACAGAGCGGGGAGCAGAACAGGCAGATCAACGAAGTACACTGCTGAGAGGAGCAGCGGGCGGGTCAGGAGGGGTCTGCCGCACCATGTGGTCACCTCCGGGGCAGGTGGGGATCGAACTCATGCGGAATTTGGTTTAGCTTCTCAGTGCTGTGTTTTAACCCGCTGCGCCACCAGGGAGGGCCGGCCTTGGAATCTTTAAATGTACGTTAATTACTAATCCAGTGTCTTATTTTAAAAGTGAAATAATGTGCTTTAAATCTTACAATCCTGTTTATGACTGGGTGTATTCAATTGGCAGGACACAGCTCCCTGAGCCTGATGGCCCATTTTGTCCAGATCCATTCACCTGTCCTGCCGGGTGGGGGTGGGGTGGGGGGGTGTCCCCCAACTGCCCTATTGCTGCACAGTGAAAAGATGTAGCAACAAATACCACTGATTCAAAATCTTTTTTTTTTTTTTTTTGGCCTCTTTGCTCTTTCTTCCAACTCATTTTATTCTAGGACAGTTGATCCAGTGATGTTCTAATTTCATGATGATGGGTGCATCATCTCTTAAATAACATTTATGAGTCTTGGACACACATCCACCCAGTACACTAATAGGAAACATCTAGTTCCACTGACTACTTCTGATGACATTATAACTTCTAACCAATGGAAAAGAAAGTCTTTCCAAGAATTTCCCTTTCAGGATCTAATCAGAATTTATTTTGTAAGTACCCAATTACAGTTTTAAATTATGTTCCTAATATTGTTAGTCTTCAGATGCTTACATATTTTTACTCATAATACAATGAAATAATTTAGCATGTTTTACAGGGGCTGATGTTCTAGATTAAGAAATTTGGCCATTCATTGATTGGATTATTTGGTTCAGGAAGTTGGTGTATAGATGACCCAATTACAGCAGAAGTAGATTTCCTTAAAATGATTTTGGATCTAGAAACTTAGGAAATCTGAGCTGAAAATTAAATTCTTCTGTTCTACTGCTCCTCCTATAGACAGCTGATTAATGATGGATAATGTTCCAGAAAATTAGAAGGGTATGCCTATGATAAAGCTTTTTGCAGTACAGTGAGGCCAACTTTGTCATTAAAAAAATTTAAGAGTCAGCAGATGGATGAATTCACTAGAAGGTAAAATATTTAAACGTGCATGATGTCTGAAAAATGGTGGAGAGCTATACATTTCAGAGGAAGTATGGCCTATCTTAGACAATACTTGTATGGCTTGTCCTTGAAAACAATTTTTTAAAAGATCATATAGATCTTTAAAAAGTTAGACTTTAGGGCCCTCCCTGGTGGCGCGGCAGATTAAAACACAGCAGTAAGAAGCTAAAGCCACTTCAGCATGAGTTCAATCCCTACTCCGGAGGTGACCCATGGCCATGGCGCGGCAGACCTCTCCTGGCCTGCCAGACCTCTCCTGGCCTGCCCACTACTACTCCCCTCAGCAGTGTACTTTGTCAGTCAGCCTGTTCTGCTCCCCACTCTGTATCTGGTGAATCTTCTCATCGCCCCTGCACCTCTGGCCTGTCCCCCAGTTCTGTATGCATAAATAAATAAATCTTTATTTAAAAAAAAAAGGTAGACTCTAAAGCACAAAAAAGTTGATGGCTGTTTATAGAAACCATGTATATGAAGACTGACAGTTTAGGAGCCCAAGCCAATAAAATATTTGACATGCTTATTCCAAGATCACACAGCTAGTTGGTAAAGAAAACATGATAATAGCTGGAGGGAGGAGGGATAGCTGCAGGTACAATTCATGTTGTAGGGTCCCATCCATATTGACTACAATGAAAGGGCGTGCCCTGGAGGCGGCAGCCTGGTGAAGGATGGTATTCAGGCCCAGTGCATCTAAAGTCTTATCCTGCACTCTCCCTCTGACTCCCCCAAATTACACCACACTGTTAGAATTAGTGACCTAAAATTGTTTTCTCAGGGAATGTTTGGATCCTGGAGGAAGTTATAAAGAAATAGACATGCATTCTGGTTTCATTCCTGACCGCGAAAGAGAAAGGGACTGGGTAGCACTCTGGGTCAATGCCACTTACTTTGGTGTACCCAGAAGGGAAGGCGCACTGAATTAGGGTCAGGTGCCCTGAGTTACACACCCAACTATCCTTTATGAGCTGAACTTCTTTGCAGAGTTGGGAGAGGCTACATCCTTTACAAATTCAGTGACTTTCTGTAGCTGACCTGGGGATTGGAGGTGTTTCCCTCATATGGTCTTCTAGTAAATTTCCACTGTGATGCTGTCTGAGACCCACACCCGGGATGAAAACGACACATGTCAGCGTCAGCAGCAACAGGATAAAGACTTAGCCAAAACCCTCACTCTTGTTCCTTAGGAGCTATGAGACTTTCAGAGCATGCCTCAGTTCTCTCAAAACCCTAGGAACATCTGGAGATTAACCTCTTGCCTTGCCCTTCTTAGAGGAATGATATCCTGCGTTCAGGTGTCACGTTCTAGTTCTAGCCAAGACTTTCAAAGCCTTTTACAAACATTGGCTCCACCTGCAGCAGTTCTGTGGCTGACTGTCATGTGACTGAAGGAAACAGGAAAACAAGGCTATGTCAGGACCAAAAAGTCAAGTTCATCTAAGACTAAGGAAAACATGGAGAAATATGACATGGCTAGTTTTCTTAATTTTGAAAAATGCAATTCCAAATCTGTGTTAATATATTTGTTTTTTTCTCACGTAGATTACCTGAAGTATCACTCATAAATGTCAAGCCATTGTTAGAATCCAGAGCCAAATTTCACTTAAACCAAAATTACGACTTTTTAAATTACAATTAAAAAATATATTCTTAATTCTAAGCTCAGAAGATAGAAAGGAACAAATATTTCTTGTGATTTCCTCCATTAGCAACCTTTGGGACATTCTGGGACCTTTAGTCAGTATAAACCCAGATGTGAAATTCTTAAAACCAAATTCATGTTGACTAATTTTAACATTAAAGTCAGCAATTTATTCATATTCCTATGTCATATTCATATGATATCACTGAGTTGCTAAGGCTATGAAGTAGGATTTGTCATTAAGGATGAGAAAATCGACATAAGAAGGTACTAGGGAATGACACTGCTGAGTCTCCATGTAAACCAGATAATGGATGAATCACGTTCGCACACATGATCCCATTTCACCTCCCAATGATCCTGTGAGCTAGACATTTGTCTCTGTTTTAGAGAAGCGATTGAGCGTCAGAGAACTGAAATGACTAGCCCAAGTTTATCTAGCAAGCTTTTTGATTCATAGCTCATACTTTTTAATTCTAATCCCTTCTATATTAGGTTTTTCCTTATTTCTCCTCAAAGACAAGCTCAGGGATCTATCCAGTGAGAACTTCATTGTTTCCTGAGTGTGTTGTGGATATTAAATAGGAAGCAGCTGTTGGAGGAATAACACTTCTTTAAGATGTTGGCTTTGGTTGGCATTCAGCAGTCTTATTTTCCTTAGGACCTTAGGAGAGAAAATGCACATCAGTTTCTTAGTGTCTCACTGGTGTTTATGCCAGGCAGTGCCTAGTTCAGAGCCTTAAACTGTAAGTAGGCACTCAGTAGTTGCAGAGTGGGCACTTGGGAGTGGCTTGCTGAGTGTAGATTTGACATCTGTTTCAAAGCAGTTATTCACATGATAACATTTAGGCACAGGGTTCAATCTTATTAAAGAAAGACTGGTTTCATTTCCCAGGTACTTGTGATGCCTTCCAGTCTGAGGCAAGGTAGTTTTCCACACACACACACACACACACCTGAATTCACTTAGCAGTGTGAAACTTTGGCCAAATCACATTAATGCTCCAAATTATTAGAACTTGCCTTATGAGCTAGCATTCTTTCTGAACAGGAAATAATTAAAATAACTGGCATGGCAGATAACAACTCCCAGGTTGATATTTACCTGTTTCAGCCACACATTTGTTGTCATCAGTTGATTCTTTTCATCCTAAGAAATGACAATGAAAAAGATGTAAATTCATCAAATAAAGTTTTTGGGGGTGGGGTGTTGGATTTCTTGTGGTTTTTTTTTTGGCTTGGAAAGAGTAAGGTGTTCAAGCATAAAAGCGTACTCAACTCATAAACAGTAGATGGCATGGAATCTTAAAATATTAAGCTTATTATACTTGAAATGACAAATAATAAGTAGCAGTTCACTGTGCTGATATTTAAATAAAATTGCATAAGCCAGAAGGCATGTTAAGGGTACAAAGTAGAACAAAACATGAACTAAATTGGAGATAGACTGCAGCATTTTCTAAAAAAAGCCAGGGGGTACTGAATCAGCTGGGTGTGTGTGTGTGTAGAGCAGGGGATTTGGCCAACATGGGAGGATTATTCTGAGACTTTGGGAACCATAGCAGGATGATTTTATAGCTTTTGGGGTGTGCAGGTTCAAGGACTCAGCAGGAATGCAAACATGGCAGAAGTCCAAGTCCTGCAGGAAAATTAGTGGAGGGTGCTCAGGCCTGGAGGATCAGGGAAAGCTGTGGGGTGGTAAGGGCATCAGGAGGGTGAGGGGTCGCCTGGTATTCCCTCTGGGAGCTGTCAGGACCTCCCCTTTTTCCTGCAGGGGCCCCACCAGCCTCTGGAGTCCAAAAGACACTGGGCCAGCATTGGGAACTGCGCCCCGCCCCCGCCCCATCCCACTCTTCACTCTGGGGGCTCCAGCCAACTGCCAGGACCAATGATGGTCTCCTATAGCCATCCCTTCCCTGCAAAACAACCGCACATCAATTGTGTTGCCATGAATGTTTACTCCTGTGACACTTTCATTCCTTTTTCGGGCCATTTCACTGACTTCTTGGGGCAGTTTTGTTCCCCCACAGCAAGTTATTTTTAAAACAGAAATGGCAGACCCCAGGACAGAACACAAAATAAAATCTCAGCCTCACAAACAGTTTAAGGAATGTATGTTCTTTTTAAGTGCAGTGCCAAAGATTACTTACCACATCTACAAGCTGAGATATTTTCAATCCAAAATATACTTTTATGGTATCATTAGAATTTAATACCGGGCGAACCCATTTCTGATAGCCTTGGAATAAGTGTCTGAGGAGGGCATCTTCATTTTCTGCTATTGAACTAAGTCCTGCCGCAGCTGTAAGAATCATGAGGAAACCTGAATTAATGGGACAGGCATAATGATGCTTTGGCATCGTATCACCTGGATCTTCATATAGTTCTAAATAACCCACTTCAGCAAAGGCAGCTTTGAGTACACAGGGGTTCACTTTGTTTTCCATGCCCACCCTCAGTGCTCTCCAAAAACATACAAGTAAAAGTAGAATCTGTATTTACCCAAAGATTTACTCTTTGGGGTAGTTTTCCACCACGAGGTCAACACCATAACTCCCAAAGGATCATCTACAGATACCTTCTGACCCTCAACTGGATGACTCACATGAGAGGTCACCTCCTTGCAGACACTGTCTCTGTTCCTCATGTCCCTTATCAGAGTTTGTGGTCTATCTGCTGTCTGCCTTCCTCTTGAGCACCATGATGGTCTAACAATGTCTGCTTCGTGTGATGTCAACTAGCATCTGGAAGAGTGCCAGTGCTGTAGCAGGTATGTGTTGTACACCTCTCCATGAATGACCCAATGCAGGGATGATGTCATGATCACTTACGTACAGTCAGTATCCAGTAGACACATGCCTGTGCCTTCTCCCAAGGTCCTTGTATGGCGACCTGCTCAACAACCAACAACCAGACTCTTACACTCTCCACCTCCACCCGGTGAGAGACTAAGAAACACCCTAACTTTCAACTTTAATTCACAAGCTAAAGAGATGGTTTGGAACGCAATCTAGAGAGAAGTTACATTTCTTTCATTTTTAAAAAGATATATTTATTTATGCATACAGAACTGGAGGACAGGCCAAAGTAGCAGGGGCAGTGAGAGGATTCACCAGAGACAGAATGGGGAGCAGAACAGGCTGACTGATGAAGTACACTGCTGAGGGGGTAAGTGGGCTGGTCAGGAGAGGTCTGCCCACCATGGGGGTCACCTGCGTGGGGGCTTCTGGGAATCAAACTCACACCCTAGCAGCTGCTGATAGCTTTTCACTCCTGAGCTTTAACCCTTTGTACCACCAGGGAGGGTCCAGAAGTTATGTTTCTTTTTAATGTTGTACTATAACATAGTGGGAGGAATTTCATGGGGACTATAATTGGGATGAAACTGTGTTCAGTGTATAAAAATGAAGAATGATATTAAAAATATATAATAATAATACCAACAAATGACACAAGGGCTAGATGGTTTTTAAAAAGGAGCCAGTGCTCAAGTTGAAGGTATTATTTTTTTGCCTTTCCTACATAAAATAATACCAGTAATATTTACAGAGATGAGATAAAAGACATTATCAATTTTTAAAAAAGATTTTTTTTTTATGTATATAAGAACTGGGGTGCAGGCCAGAAGTGCAGGGGAGGATTCACCAAAGACAGAGTGGGGAGCAGAACAGGCAGATCTACTGAAATACACTGTCAGTAGGCCAGACAGGAGAGGTCTGCTGCACTATGTGGGTCAGTTCCATGGCTGGGGATTGAACTCAGTGCTGTAATGGTTGCAGATAGCTTCGTAGTGCTGTGCTTTAATCCCGCAATACCAGGGAGGGCCCTGTTTTCAATGTTTATCTCATTTAGGCCTCTTGTTTTGTGTGTGTGTGTGTGTACACATATATGACAACATTTGAAACACATATATGGTTATATATATGTAATATATATGTAATATATATTTTTTCCAAGCTTGATTAGCTTGAAAAAAATTTTTTTAAATAAAACAAGGCTTTAAAAAAAAGTTTATTTTTACATCATTTTGTGCCTTTTCCATCTCAGTTATAATCCCCATGTAAAACAAGGTTTTTAACATAGCTGCTCTCTTTTATATTTTGCACAGAGGTGGGGTTCTCTGGGCTGCACACGCTGGTATCCCCACACTTCTCTCTTCTACTCTAGAAAGTATATTATGTAAATGAGTGCAAGAGAAAGGTGTGATCCTGTGCTAGCATTCACTGACGTAAAAAGCTAGCTTGTCTCCAACTTGGATACTTAACTCTTCTTAGCAGGCAGGGCTGCATTAAGGAACAGTTAGCTGGACGACTGCCAAGGCTGCACTCTGGAAGGGGGCCCTTAAAACTTACTGGAAATATGGGGGGCAGGAGGGAATTGAAATTCCCAGAAGCCTGCTAAGGAAAGATGTTTGCTTGCTTCAGCTGACCTTGGAGAATTTCCCTACCCTGCACCCAGGCTTCACTTCCTTCAAAGTGCATCCAAGCACTCCCCGCCCTCTCCCCTGGCGCCACCCTCCTCAGACTCAAGACTTCTCTCTTGTATCCACTGGCTACTTCCTATAGCCCCTACTCTGGCCCCTTCTATCACACTTCCCATTTTCTACTCAATGGCTTGAGCCGTCTCTTAACAGCAGAAGATTGGGCTCCCTGCTCAAATTCTCCAAAGGCTTCCATCAAATTTAGAAAAAACACTTCAAGCCATTTTTGTGGGTAAATGTCCTCCTCCTACCTGCTTGGTGGAATGGCACGTTGGGAGGGGCCGTCTTAAATGATGACCTTGATGTCCCGCAACATTTGCACCCTGCCCACACCATTTCCTCTGTGAATGGAATCTGAATTTCTAGCCTCCAGAAATAGGAGAAGACAAATTTGTCTGTGTAAACCACCCATCTGTGGCTTTGCGCAAAGGTGTCCCAAGCTGACTGGTTCAAACTTGTGCTGACCTAAACATAACCCCGCAAACTGCCCCCCAAAAAAAGAAGAAAAGAAAAGGAAAGTTCAAAGGATTAGTGCTTTCTGCTTCATATCTACAAATTTCCGAGCCTTCCCCAAACAGAAGCTGAAGTCAGGGTTGTTATTAGAGCCGAGGTGGAGGATAGGCCTGGAAATGAGATTTGTCCTTCTCTGTAAAATAGCATGCTATGAGGAAGGGCAAGAGCTTCCACCGTTGTGTCTTTAAGGCCAAGGCTTCAATAAATATTTGATGATGTTTGGCAAATGAACAAATTAATGAGTAAGCACGTAACAGGCCATGGTGGTGCTCCCTGAGCTTGGGGGTGGGGGATGCTGGGCTCTCTGCTCTATAGGACATTGACTCTTCTGTGTTCAGGACAAGAGGCCTCTGTTTTGAGGAATAAATGGATTCCTGGAAAGTTGTGTTTAACCAAACTTCTGCAAGTGTGCTGATTTTTAAAATTAATTATGCAAGACCAGAGTTCTAAGACAGATTTCAGCATCAGCAGTTCACTGAAAAGTCAAGGCACTGCTCTGGAGGATGACTTACCACTTGCAGGGAGTGCTTGGATTTCTCAAAATCAGCCTCCTGGAGGTGTGGCAGAACGCTTGCATTCATTTCAGCATTAATTAAAGAGGAAGGGAAGGTGACATGAGACTGAGACGGAGCAAAGCAGTACAGCTGGGAAGGACCTCCAAAGTCACCTACACCCCTCATCTACCAGGTGAAGGTCCTGGGGGTACAGACCTTGCTCAGGGACTCTCAGCAGATAAACTGATTCTTCAAGAATAAAGGGGTCAAAAAGCTGTTCCTTCCACTACGGTCTTATTGCCACATAAAAACTGTTCCAATCATTGACTTCTATGAGCATATATTTGTGTTAGAGCTACATTTGTCACTCTGTTGAGGTTAACATTACATTTTCTACAATACTTGAGTGTTATTTAAAGCAACCAATTGCCCAGAGGAGTGATATTCCAAATCACGTCATGCCTAATGTATGTTTGGTCACAGGGAGGCGCTCAACACTGATGGTGGAGCTGTCTTCTGGGGTCCCACCGAATGGTCATCTGTGGCAGCTGGCACCTGGCAAGACTGCTTTACCTGGTGCCTCTTTGGTGACACCAGTGTGTGGTCACTCCACTCTTCTTGGAGGTGAGCACCCAAAACTTTACAGCAAGACGGCTCTCCTGCTTCAGACATGAGAATCGCCCTATATTCCCTCACTTGAGTCTTGCTCTGCAGCACCCCTGCCATCTATGCAGTATCTTTGGAGCTTCACAGCTTTTCACTATCTCTTTTGAGAAAAAGGAATTTGATTTCTCTCCTAAACCCCAATCCTCCGCTTTCCCAATTAATCTTTGTCTCTTTTTTCCTTGGCAAAATAATTCCCTTGGGATTAGACAAGCTACTCCACAGACCAAAGGCAAGAGGAAAAGAACCAAAGAGAGCACATTTGGGTGACTGGGACAGTAGATGGAGCTGGAGAGGGTTCTGCCTGATTCCAGTTATTTCCCCACCATGAACTCAGACTGGAAAGGGCTGCTCTTGGCTCAGGAGTCTGGGTCTTTGGCCAAACGAATCACTTGTTCAAACCAGAATCCAACAATATTTATCTGATACTGGACTCAGATACAGAGATGTGAATTATGTTCCTGATTCCAAGCTGTCAGAATGTAAAAAGGGTATTTCACCTCTTTCAATAAAAACAGGGAGTGAATGATTGCTAAGGCCCCTCTTAACTCCTATGTCTGTACTTCAAGGATCTTTATGTCCATGAAATAGTCACAAAAATACTTGGCTTACTAATGCCAAGTATTTTGTTCTTCCAAACATTCCAAGGAGAGTCAACATTTCAAATGTGCCCTTGATTGGGGGCCAGGCTTCACTCTATTTATTGCAATAGAGAAAGCACTCAGGTAAAGACCACTAGACCCCCAAAGGACAGAGCACTCTCAGGATAATAAGTAGAAGCATGAGATTTGGATGAAGTCCTTGTATCAGCTTAGCTAAGAAATTTTCCTTGGAACCCATGACTGACCTTCTAACCTCTGTATTCTTTTTGATCATATTTCCTTTTTATCCCAGACTCACAGATCTTCTTCTGTCTTCTCACCCACTTGCAGCAACATTTTAACAAACTCACTTACACTAAGGTATAAATAATCGATAAGACTAAATAGATGAAATGGTCCACGATTGTGACACTATTGAAGACCACGCCTTTCTTTCCTCCAGGAGAGGAAAGAAACAATTTTAAATCTCAGCAAGCTTGGTAAGGAGAGGCATATTTTTTGTTTTGACACCTTTTGGCATGTTTTGACTATGTCTCTCATTACCACCACCAAGTCCAAAAAAAAATCATACCAAAATATGGTAACTTCTATCAACACATTTCACCTTCAGGGTGAAATCAAATAATAATATTTAGTGGATGCTTGCTAGCATGAGAGTTTGCCAGGATCGATTAGACTTTGTTTTATTTTCTCTTATATCTCCACATGCTACATCCACCCTGGGATACAGTAGATCCTCAATAAATATTTACAAATGAACACACAGCCTCATGTGGTAAGTCCCTAGTTTTCCAGAGAAAAATCACTGATACCAAAGTATGAATCGGCAACACAGACAGGCCACATGGCCAGACACCATGATCCTTTTCACCAGAGTTAGGAGAATGTACAGTTGGAACAAGAGGGTTTATACTAACTGCCATTGCCAACCAGTGAGGTGATTTCCAGGGGAGAGGGTGGTAAAATCAGTTCTTTCATGGTAAATGGAATACTTTAGTAAATTAGGGCAGAAATATATTAGACACAGATGTTAATTGTATGCTAAAACACAAAGGCGTTCATTGTACTTTTTATGACTGACAAATTGTATTTAAGAATTTGTAGAGGGCAAAGGGGATTGGATGATTTCCTCACTTAAAGATGACAGTTTTGAGTCCCCTGTATGAGGAAAGACTGTTTCTGCCATGATAAAGTTCAAGGGTATGTGCACCTCACGGCCCTATGACTTTTAAATCCCAGATTTCTGGACTTGGGCAAATTGACCTCAGCACCTCTGGCTTTCCACCTGAAAACTGCAATAATCATATGTAACAAAAACACTAGTTACAAATAAATACTAATGGAATTGTTAATGGAATGAATTTTTCACTGTTCGACTCCTAGTTCTAGGTGATTCCTGTTGCAAGAGGGAGGGTTTCCTGTTCTTTAGTGACAAAAACTGAAATGACTGCAGTTAGAAAATTAGCATATGACAGTGACTTTTTTTCCTAAACTTTTAATTGCCCCCCCTTTTTTCTCTTTATGTTCTCTTTTCTTTTCCTTGTCCTGTCTGACTTGTTTCTTTAAGAATTCCCTTATTCTCAGTTGGATAGTCATAGAGAACTCATGTATGTTTATAGACATTTGGTATATACGTTTTTTTAGTCATCATAAGTAAACACATTCAATAACATCCACAAGTTTACTAAAGTGATTGTGTAGTTCTATAGGATATATTGGACAAAGTGAATTGATCTACAAAGTGATTATTAGTAGATATGATATAAAAATATTGATACAGTATATTTCTGTGCCAAATATTTTGACAACTCCAACATCACATTTTTTTTCCTGTTTTTTATATCTTTCTGCCAAACTCGGAATAATTCAAAAGGAATAAGACAGTAAACAGCAAAAGCATATAAACACTGTGGACTCATAAATATGACTTCTTCAGCAATTTGCAGATTTCACAGATCTGTTCAACAGTCACATCTTAAAGGTTCTCCTAAAGACATCTATATATCTTGTAATTCTATCAAATCAACACACCGTTTTGCCTCCTTTCCTTAAATAACTTTACAAATCATAAAATGTTAACATAGTTTAACTTGAGCTTACCTGAGTGCGTGACACCAAGGATGATGCATACCAGAGTAAAACCTGCCAGGGTCATGATGTCAGTTTTGGTGGATAATTTATTCCCTTTCATCAGAAAGGGGAGTCTTGAAAAGAAAACGCAGGTTTTCAAAGTCTGAAGTGGACGAGACGGGGCAAGTGAACACCTGAAGTGTCCTGAGCCAGTCTCCGTCCAGGGTGATGTTGCTTCAAGCACATACACTCCATTGATTTCCAGTCAGCTGTCAGAGCATGTAAGTCTAACAAATATCTCTGGGTCCTAACTCCTGACTGATTAATTTACTCTCTTGCAAAGAGATGCAGGGTGACAGAGAAAGGACAAAGCGAGACTGCTTCTGAATATTCTGTGCTATTTTTCTCCTAGTTGAAGATCTGTGCAAAGGAGAAAAACTTGCATTTTATAAAATGCAACAAGGAACTTAATGGAAAGTTTCTCATACACATTATTCCTCTATTATTTTTTCATTGTGAACTCGGAGCTTAAGAACAATGAAATGTGTCCTTGGGTTCCCGGGTCTGATGGCTCTGATTTACTGTCAGAGCATCCTCTGCAGTCCCTGGGGCCCACCAGACCCTGCTTACTCTTCCTCACGGAGGAAGTTGGGGGAGTTTAGTCTTATTTTGCTTCCTTAATGGGAATTAGATTGAAAATCTCACCCTTCCTCAGCGCTGATGGGATTGCATCTATCTAGTGCTGTCCATGCACAGCGGACCCTCATAAAGCAAATCTAACGAGTGGGTAAGTGAACATTAAGGGCTAGCAGAGCACAGGCGCTGGGTGGGGGCAGCTGCTTAGACAGAGACCGGGTGCTGCGGCAATGGACATGCTTTCCAATTTATTTTATGCACACAGGAACTGGGGTACAGACCAGAGGTGTGGGGATGTGAGAGAACTCACCAGACACAGAGTAGGGAGCAGAACAAGCAAATAGAAAATACACTGCTGAAGGCAGCAGTGGGTAAGACAGGAGAGGTCTGCTATGTCACGTGGAGCACCTCCCTGGCCTGGGATTGAACTCCTAGGAGTTGCAGTGGCCATGGATAACTTCATGGTGCTGCATTTTAACCCCTTCGCCACCAGGGAGGCCCTGTGCTCCAACTTTTAAATTTCTTCATGAGATCTCATTAAACATCGTTGGGTGCCACCAGAAAATTTCAAATACCCAGACCCTTTGGAAGCACTGACAGTAACTGAGAAATGCCGCGGCCTTGTTAAACTCTGCTCTCCGGACGCATGTGACAGCCTGCTGCCTCTCTCCTTTGTGAGAGAGTCTAGTGGGTCTGTGTTCTTTCACCCCTATTTTTCCATCTGCTGGTCTCACATATCAAGACGTTAAGAATGTTACTTAACAAAAATAAATAAATGGGACCACATCAAAACAAAAAGTTTTTGTATATGTAAAGAAACCAACCAAAAGCAAAAAGGCAGGTCCTCGTTGGTGGTGCAATGGGTTAAAACACAGCAATATAAAGCCAGCTGCAGGCTTTTCAGCATGAGTTCGATCCCCGGCCAGGGAGGTGATCTACACAGTGCAGCAGACCTCTCCTGTCTTGCCTGCTGCTTCCCTCAGCTGTGTACTTCGTCAGTCTGCCTGACCTGCTCCCCAGTCTGTCTCTGGTGAATCCTCTCACTGGTCCTGAGTCTCTGGACTGTACCCCAGTTCTGTATGCATACATAGGTAAATCTTTAAAAAAAAAAGACAAACCACTGACTGAGAGAGAAGATATTGCACATCATTCTTCTGACAAGAGCTTAATATCCAGGAGCACTCAGGCCTCAACAATGACCAAAATGGGGCAGTTTTAAATAGGCAATTCACCAAAGAAGGCATGGATGACCAACAGGCATGTAAAAATATGTTCAGCTTTAGTTATTATTAGGGAAATGCAAATCAAAACCACATGAGAGCTATCCTACACCTGTGAGAATGGCCAATATCAAGAAACTGGAAACAACATGTTTTGGTGAGGATGCAAAGCACTGCACTGTCTTGTTCTGCTGGTGGGAATGTAACTTGGTGCAGCCTCTATGGAAGACATGGAGGTTCTGTATAAAACTAAAGGATAAACACCATAGCAATACCACACCTAAGTGTTTCTTTAAACATAAAAACACCATATTTAAACACTTTAAATATAAAAACACTATTTAAAAGAGATATTTGCACCCCTACATTAATAGCACAACTATTTACAATAACATGAAAACAAGACATGAAAGCAACTGAAATGCCTCAAGTTCAGAATATGCCACCAAGCTGAATCCACCATGAGGTCAAGATGGCAACTGCCATAGTCTTGAGAGTCACTTGTCAAAGTGCTGAAAATGTAAAAAGAACTGCTGGCAGAAGGCAGCTGAAGGGGCTCACACGGACCTGAGCAGGAGACCGTCTCCCAAAAAGCACCTGTTAAAGTCGGTGCAGAAATGAGAGGCCCCACCTCTGAAAGCCCGAAAGCCTTATCCTTGAAAGTCTACCTCCAACCCCCAGTCATGCTCTGCCCCTTGGGTCCAGAGATGCCCATTCAAGAAGTCAAAGAGTGGAGCTGAGAGACTCAGCACTTGCTTTCAGTGTTCCCCATCAGTCTCTACTTGGGAAGTCACAGGTCTTTCTGTTCTCTCTTCTTCTTCATCTCTTACAGGATGATAGTGAAAACAGCACACTCCTGCTTCTGAAGGGTACCCCATTGCTAACCTGCAGAACTGAGCCCTTCACCTGTGGGATGTGACCCTACATCTGGGTCGACAGAATCAGAATAGAGTAGAATTGTAGGATGCTCGGCTGGTGTTCAAGAATGGCTTAGTGGCGTGGAGGAGAAACCCATACTCTTTGGAATCGGGTTCAGGACTTTTAATGACTGAGGAAGGTGCAAGCTGAACGTTCAGAAGGTGGGGTCTGTGCTCTCCCCACGGTCTTGGCCTAAAAGCACGCATTGCCTCCCCCACTCCACCTCTGCAACTTACCAAATGTGACAGCTGGAACCTGGAAGACAGTCTTGAGTTTCTCAGCACTGCCTGCTGGTTGGAGGATTCTATGAGCCCTCGTTGGGTTTGAATATGCTGGAGCAGATCACAGAACTCAGAGAGACGTTTTACTATACAGTTTATGATACATGGATCTAACTCAGGAACAGTCAGACGGAAGAGAAACACAGGGTAACGTTGGGGAAACTGAGGGGGCCCTCACCCCCTCTGCAAACTATCAGTCCCCTGAAACAGCCTTGTGGTCACCGACCCAGAAGCTCCCTAAACCTTGGCTTTTTTCCTATTCATGTCGAATTCATTAGACAGGTGTGAATCTGGATCCCTCTCCTTGCATTCAAGGTTTAGGGAAGGACTGAAAGTTCCAAGCTCCTCACTTCAGGGTTGGTCTCTCTGGCATCAGCAATCACCCCCAAGTGCTTTCCAACAGCCACCATTAGCATAGAGGCACCTTTGTTACTTCACCATAAGAAACTCCCATTTTGGAGCTTTGCTAGGAAGAGACAAAACCCCAAATCATATGTCCATGATTAATTACTATAGCACAGCTACGCAGTGGGGATTTACAAACTTCTGTTCTCATTGGCCCTTCTTTGTGTCTCATCTCAGTGATTCTTGCTTCAGTCAGCCTCGATGTCTCGTCAATAATGTTATGATTTCAAATACAACTTCTTACCATGAGTGAGGAATTTTTTCAGGGGGGATGAACAAATGGGTGTTCATATTTAGAGTTCACAGGAACTTCAGGGACTGAAACTGACCCTTTCATGATTCTCCAACATAGTCTGTAACGGCTAAAATTTCAGTCGAAAGATAATTCTTAATTTGACTTAAAATTAATTTTAATACATTAAATCAAGTTAATTTTAATAGTTTAACTGAATGCTCTGATTTGAGTGAACGCTTGTAAAATCCAAAGACCCTGGATAAGAGGGCACTTAGTCCAAAGGATTTCAATCTTTGTTCTTCCGCCCTTATTCAATTCTACCACCCCATGGACATCCTTCCAACAGTAACATTTCTCATTAAAAGGAAAGGTTTGAAAAGCATGACTTGTAAATAAGAGATTTGATTTCCTGAGATCAAACAGTGGAAGTCGAGGACCCCTGGGAAGGCTTTGCAATTTCTCCAGGTTTGGCATTAAGGCAGACTACGACTCAGAAAATGGGTTAAACGATGCTGAAAGTGCAGCACAGGTCTTGGGGGCCCCCTGTTGGACAGTAGGCCTCACTGCAGATGCTCTTTGAAAGGTTGCATGCTTTAGATATTATTTATTCCTTCGTTAAATTTTAGATTACAAAGAAAGCAAAACCTAGCCTGCCTACATCCAAAATTAAGCACTAAATGGCAATGTACTGTTGGTCTGATAGCTGCAGTCGTCCCACACATAGCTATCAAGGGCGTGCACACTAGAAGAACTCTCCATGCACAATCTAGAGAACTTACTAAATAGGTGGTTGGGTTGGGACCTGTCGCTGCACGAGAATCAGGCAGGTTATGGAGCCTGAAGTGCTGTCACCTGGAACTGTTAGGGGAACAGTGAGGAGCAAACTGAGTCACTGAGTGCTGTCCATCCTCTGCCACCTCCCCGGTCCCCATCTCCCTGCCATTGACATCTGAGATGCCCAGGACACCACTTCCATGGCAAGTCGCTGTGAAATGCGCTTCCTGAACTGGGGGGGAAGAGAGGGGTGGAGTCTAGAAAGGTGCTGGGCAGCCATGAGGAACAAATAAAAAGGACTGAAGCCTTTCTGGAGGATGCTTCTCCTGGTCTTTCTGTTCTCTCTTCTTTCTTTTTAAAGATTTATTTATTTATGCAACAGTACTGGGGTACAGGCCAGAGGTGCAGGGACAGTGAGAGGCTTCACCAGAGACAGAGCAGGGAGCAGATAGGGAAGCAGCAGGCAGGTCAGGAGAGGTCTGCTGTGCCATGTGGGCCACCTCTGGGGCTGTGGATCTAACATGCACTGAGTTGGCTGTGGCCAGCTTGCAGTGCTAACCCATTGGGCCACCAGGAAGGGCCCACTGTTGTCTTATCTGACCTCAAGGATTTGGTAGACAGTTCAAATCCTCTCTCTTGAGAGACTATGGCTGTCATCATCTCGACCTCCTAGTGGATTTGTTACAGGGCACCTCAATATGGATTGGGTTGCCTGTCTGTGGGTCTTCACCCGTGCGCTTACGATTCAATCCTATTATGGACACACTCAAAAGGTTAAATAATGGATTTATTTATAAGGAGAAAGGTAAAGGAATAACCCAGGGAAAGAGGGAGAGAAACACAGGTTAACTAGGATGTTCTACCAGTTCT